TCCAAAATGAAATTCTGAATGTCTTCTTTGGCTTAAAAGCCCTGAACGCACACCTACATATGTATGTGTTTCTTCCTCATGTGTATAGACAAAGTCCACAAATTTTTGTCAGCGTATGAAATGCATGATCAGTTAGGATATCAAATATTTTGATGATAAATGATTCCAATCCAAAACATAGACATAGACATCAATCCTTCACAATTGACAACCGTATTACATGAATATGCATCAGTTTTCATATCTTTGGACTGAGTATGCAAAATAAAAAGCACAATATTAATAATATATATCTAGCCTCTAAGCCTTTTTTTTCATCGTGTTGATGCGCAATGTTACCATCACATAGACCCTATCTTGTAGATTGTCTATGAATCGAAAATATGTGTGTCTCCATGTCTTGTTAATAATTAAAGAACCACATACTCCCCAAAATCCCACTATGAACCCCAACACAATGAAAATATAAAACCATGGAAGTTGATGAAGCCCATTGTGCACGTCTTTGTTGTTCTTGTTATCTGCATCAATGCCCTTATTTGATTCACACCTTGGAAGTGGCGCACCACAAAGTTTTGGGTTCCCCTCAAACGCGAAAGCTTCAAAGCTTTGGAGCTGGGTGCTTGTTGGTATCGATCCTTCGAGGTTATTATATGAGACATTAAATTCTTTTAAGAAATTAAGGCTCGCCAATGACGATGGGATTATTCCAGACAAGTGATTCATGGAGAGTTTCAAAACCTCTAAAAATTTTAAGTTAGATATTTGGTCTGGAATGACGCCGGAGAAGTTGTTGGAATCAAGACCCAACAGCTAGAGAAGCTGCAATTGGCCGATCTCAGCAGGTATATAACCACTAATGTTATTGTTAGATAAGTCTATCGTTGCTGGATAAAAATCCAATTTTTGGGATAGAAAAGTTTGATTTGCGGTTATGCTAATGCTGCTACTGAAGACAGGAAATTCAAATTCATATTTGTCTACTTGAGATGTCATTGGTTCATACAGAAACCTTGGTAGTCGAAAAAGTTGCTGTGGAAATTCACTTGAAATTTGGTTGTGTGACAAGCTTATATAAAACAGTCTAGGAAGAGTCCCCAACCAACTTGGAATTGGCCCTGTGATTTGATTAAAACCCAGAGCCAATATCTCTAGATTCTTGAGCTTTGATAACCATAAAGGTATTTGACCGGTGAGGTCAGAAAGAACCAAACCCAAGAGCCGAAGATTTTGGAATCCATCAAAATCAACCATGTCATCATCAGATGGCATTCTCTCACCCACAAAGGAACCACTAAGTAAGAGTGCGTGAAGACTTCTGCAACTCATCAATATCTTCATTGCCCCTATGAGGTTGGTGAATTGGTTGTAACCAAGCGAGAGGAAGGACAAGGATTTCAATGAAAGAATCTCAGCTTGTATTTGTCCCTCTAGATTATTCCAAGTCAATCGAATGGCTTTTAGGGACCTACATGAGTAAAGGCTTACTGGAATCGTACCAGTGAAGTTATTGATCCTTAGGTCAAGTTTAGTAAGTTGACTCAGTCCTGAGAAATCAAGCATGGAGATATCTCCTCTCAAGTTGTTGTTTCCCAGACGCAGTTCTACAAGGTTTGTGCAATTCATCAAAGATGGGGGCAAATCACCTTCAAAATTGTTGAAATCAAAGGTCACAAACTTCAACTCGGAGAGCTTCCCCAAATTGAGATGAAGCTCACCGCCAAAATGATTAAAGGAGAGGTCAAGGATAGCAAGGTTGGTAAGGTTGACAATTTTATCACTAAATGGCCCCATGTAGTGAATTGAGAGTTAATGCAATTTCTTCAAATTTGGTAGCATTATAAATATCTTCTGGAAGTAATCCTGACAGGTTATTATGACTGGCACGAAAAATATCTTCTGGAAGTAATCCTGAGAGGTTATTGTGACCGACACGAAAAACTTGCAGTTTGGAACACTTCCATAGCCCAGGAGCAAGGTTGCCACTGAATGCATTGGAAGAAAAATCCAATAGCCTAAGGGAGGGAGAAGAATGGAGACAAATAGAGGATGGGACATACCCTGTGAAGGTATTGTTGCTAACATTGAAACTAGTCAAGTTGCTAGCTTGTTGGAAGAATGAAGATGAAATTGCACCAAAGAAGTGATTGCTGGACAAATCGACTGTTCGGATATTGCTGGATGGTAGAGAAAGTGGTAGCTCTCCAGAAAGACGGTTATAGCTCAAATCGAGGATCTCAAGTTGATTCAAATGCAAGAAGAACTGAGTTTCAAGTGAACCAAGAAGTGAATTGTGGGAAAGGTTCAAGTGGGTGAGATGTGTGAGATTTGCAAGTGAAGAGGGAGAGATGCCTCCTTTAAGCCCTTTGGAAGGCAAGAGCAAACGGGTGACCCAACCATCTTGATCACAAGTGATGCCCTTCCAACGACAACAATCAATGGATGTCCAATTTAGAGGAGGAGAAGAGAGAGTGGAGGCAAAGGACAGAAGGGAGCTATATTTATTTATTTATTTAAAATTTGTTTTATTTTTAGGGTTTTAGAAGTCATTTTACAGAGGGATAAATTTGTCTTTAAATTTTTTAAAATAAAGTGAGTTGAAAAATAGAACAGGTGGGTAAAAATAGCAACACTCTACATATATTGCACACCCTCAGGGCCACCCCTGCGAACACATAAGAATCCCAATATGACCTAACTGTACATTAAGAAAAGATTTCACATCTGAAAATGTTTAGACTAATTCGGTAATCCAAGTACCGATTTGCTAAACTATGAGGCTTGTTTCATTGAAAAAAAACCTGTTCCTTGGAACCTTGCCAAGGAACCTTGTCAAAATAACAACCACTGTAAATTGAGAAGTCAGCAAACAACAACCACACAATGCAAATTATTAATATTGAAACCCCTCTATACGTCGAAGATATATTTCCACAACAACCACTTAAGAGGGGGCCACCAGGAGAGGACTTGACCTAGTTAATTTGAGGCCTTCACACGAAGTACTAAAAGTTGTTGCCGTGATATATGCTGATTAATTTTTCATGGAAATTTTTGGAAGATATATGGTGTTATTTTTCACTGACCTTGCTTGAGAGTGACGTGCCCTGAGATATATGGGCATGTCTGCCACTAATCGCTCTTGATTTGGGTTTGTTTGGAATGGAATGAATGAACTAATGATGAAGTGAATTGGGTTGTATTCGCCATTGTTCCTGTATTTAAGTTACTAAGCCAAGCACATGCACAAGCACAAGCACTCAGAGAAAAAATTATACATATAATTGCTTTCTGGGTTTTGTTTAGATTGTTCAATTGATTAGGAGGATGATTAATCGATGAGAAATAAGAGAGCATTGCCCCATCATAGTGGTTTCATTAAACAGTCTTCTGCTTTCTGCAAATATGTGCACTACATGACATTTGGAATTCATGTAAAGCAAAGATACGATTAATCCAATCAAATACGACCCTGAAAGTGTAATCATATTCAAATAAAAAGGCAACCAGGTTCGCACCCAGACCCAGCAATAAGCCAAACAAAATATCATTCCCCTGTCTAGTATTTTCTCCCCCATGACCTGACTGAAGAGAGCGAAATTCAATCCAAGAATCCTGCTATCCCAGGTCAACCTCCCATCACCATGACCTGACTGAAGAAACTAATCAGAAGAGAGAAGAAAAAATCACCCCACGACAAGAGGAAGAAGAAAACTGGGGGAGAGAGAAAAGAGAAGAAATAGATATAAACCGTTCAAATGCGTGATATGGAACTGAAAAAGATATTGAAAAATGCAAAAACCGCTATCGCGAAGAGTGGGATTCGAACCCCTCTCCTTCCCCATCCTCTTGCCTGACATTATCCAACACGCTGCCCCTGAATTTGTGATTAGAAGCCACAACGTTAGTATTTATACTGCGTCTTAAACTTTCTACTGGCTTTTGACAAAAAAATTTCTACAAGCTTATTTTAATGTTATTTATTATTTTAATCTTTCCTATGATATATTTAATCTGTTTAATGTTATTTATTATATTATTATGGAGGTTTATTATCTATTATCTATCCATATATAAAGCAAAAGGTGGGTTCATCAACTGATTCACATTAACAGCTGAGTAAAGAACAGTTGGCTGAATTCCTCATGCGTTAAGATTCTTAAATGTCTTTGCAAACATAGATGCTGTGAATAAGAATCTTATCTGCCATTCCTGCAGCCATACTTATTTTATTTTATTTTTTTAAATCAGTGAGAAATAGTAGTATGATCACTGCAAAAGAACTCTAAAAAGGTATGGAATCAGACCAGTTGTCATTTCTTCTATGAAGTCTAAAGGTTTCATATATATCCTCCTCAAAATAGTGTGTGTGTGTGTGTTGAGCTAGCAATAAATCTGGAAAATGACAATATAACAAAACCTAGACATAAAGATGTAACATATTAAACAACTATTATACCAAATAGGTGCAAATACCTTTGTTGTCTTCTTAAGCTTTAGCATTGGGATGACAACAGAAACCTGATCTGCTAGTATTACATCAAATGATGGCCACAGGACCAGCACACAGAGAGCAACAAAAAGGCACCGCAGAAATGCACACAAAGCATGAAGACAATAGAATACACGTAGGGGTAGGAAAGCACCATATACAGTAACAGGAAAGATACTGGGAAACCGAATGACATTAAAACATCAAACAATGCACTGATTTTAAATGATGGTTGATCACCACGAAACTGAGAAAAAAGGAAAAGGAAAGAAAAAAAATTTGATATGTTTGTTCTTACTATGTATAAACCATCTTCCAATCCCACGGTGTAGCATCCATTATCTATGTAAAACCCTGTTTGATGAAATTCCTATAGCATGTCTGTGTTTCTAATCCTGTTTCTCTCAGAGTACACACACCAAGACGACTTGAAATTGTCATTTTCCTCATTTTATTGTAAAATGGATCATCATGTAAATCTTTTATTCAACTTTCAACCAAACTTACATATGAAAAAGAAAAAACAGAGTTACTCTTGTTCGATGTTTTGTAACATACACAATCCAACCTCAAGCAAACCCCATTCCTATTTTACACAGATACCATGAATCCATAATATCAAACATAAAATTGAAACAGAGAAAGCACACACCAGAAACGGTCTCCTCAAAGCATCGATTTTTGTCATGGTGAACTTCATGGGATACAAGTTCAATAGCCACATCAACAATTAGTCTTTCAGCTCCACCTACACATCAAATTCATAAATACAGCTTAAACACAAAACAACTTCTTTACAACCTTCAACAACAATAGAAAGAAGAAGAAGTAGAAATTACCTATGCCTAGAAAATAATAGCAACGTTCAACTTTCAGCTTCCTTTCTTCGCCATTTTCAGCTCTCCTCCAATTCTCAAGATAAACGCTTTTTCTGCTAATTGGGCCAAAACTGGGTCGGTTGTGGCCCAACATTTGTAATATAAAGTATTGGGTTCTGGCCGAGTTCTATATGATCCAACCCATTTCAATTTCGGACCAAAAACAGGTCGTGATCTTTCTCAGTTCTCAACTTCTCGCACAGAAAAATCTGAAGATCAGAAAAGAGAAATGAGTGGAGAAGAATTAGCGGGCCCCCCCAGCCCCAATGCTCCTCCGTCTGCTTTATTTTGTCTGCGCTGTCTGTAAGTCATGAATTTTCATTTCAATTTTAAGTCTTTGGTTTTTGACAATGGCGTTTCCAGGATTCAAAAGCTGGTTTGGCAAAACTTACATACTAAACTTGATGGTATGAGTGAATTTCATTAATAAACATAAAAAGATACATCTAGTCAGGAGGGACATAATGAGCCTTACCCTCAAATGCATTTCTATCCATAAATAAAAGTTCAACAAATACAAAATCTAAAATTAAAACCAAAATTAAATGCAATGCAATACAAAACAACATTATTTAAATATAAAATTTAACCCTGTGAGGCTTGGAACTCTTAAATTCCTCAATTATCGATGCATTATCAATATTATTGGCAAACTCTCTTTCAATGTGAAGGATCATACAGTCAGCAAGAAATTTATCAACTAAGGTGCTTCGAAGTCGATTCTTAATAATTCTCATGCATGAGAAAGCTCGTTCTGTTGTTATTGTAGAAACAAGAAGAGTCAACACCAACCGAATCAATATGTCAAGGAAAATATAGTTTTCTGCCAAAGTTGTTTACACCAATTATTAACATAACTGAGGAAGAGTAGTGGTTTCCTTAAAGCAAGGAAGGCGATGTATATCATTTTGAAAATACCTGAGCTCTGTTTCTAATGCTCTCAACTCATGTGGAAGGAATTCAACAGGTTTCTCAACAAGTTTACATATATGCACAATATTGAATGACTTGACGGAATGGTGTGTAGATGCAAGAATGTTGATAAATGGTGCCTTGTTCTTTAAAAAAAAATCTCGCAATGAAGAAAATTCACCCCCATTGTCTACCCTAATTGCTTGGATTGTAGCAGTGAATTGGGTCTGAACCATGGAAAAAAAAAAAAAAAAAGACTTTAGAATCCCTTGTGTTTCATGCTTATGATGCATAAGGAAAACCCAAGTAAAGCGAGAATAATCATCCACTATAGTTAAAAAATAACGAGCCCCAGAAAGGGAAGGAACTTTGTGAGGTCCCCAAATATCACAATGAATAAGGGAAAAATGTCTTGAAGTTGAAATTGAACTAATGCCAAAAGGAAGGCGAGTTTGTTTAGAAAAATGGAAAGCATCACAAACATTATGGAAAGAAAATCAAAAATTCAAATGTTTTGCTAAAAATTTTAAACGAGAGGATGAAATATGCCCTAAACGACGATGCCATAAATCTCCAGGAGTTGTAACCAGGTGACAGGAAGGTCGGGTGGTGGATGGTGTTCTGTCAGACGCCAACGCCACAAGGTAGTAGAGTCCGTCACGCTCCTTACCCAAACCAATCATCATCCTCGTCTTCAAATCCTGTAAAATACACCAAGTGGGAAAGAAAATTACTGAGCACTGTAATCCTTTCGTAAGTCGACTTACGGACATTAGATTAACTTTAAATGTAGGCACACATAACACATCTCGTAAATAAAAATATGAGTTCAAAGGAAGAGTCCCAATAGATGTAATTGGTGTTGTTTCTCCACTAGGCATAGTGACTGGCAACATAGAGGAAGTATTCATCCTCTTGGTAAGGAATTTCGAATCCGATGTAATATGATGAGTTGCTCCACTATCAATTATCCAATGTAAATTGGGTAACAATTCGGAAATACCTGAAGAAGCTGAGGCGGTATTGGCTTGTGGTACAACGTGAGATGGATCAGTGTTGTCACTCATCATGGCATGAATTTTCTTATTACATTGATCCTCTGATAAAGATGGCATAGCTGTATGAATCTCTTGCAAGGATGGACCATTGGATGCCACATTATTGGTGGAACTGCTGCTACCTTTCCCTTTGCCTTTCCCGGATTTGTGAAGCATGTGTCCACGGGGATAGCCATGTAGCGTGTAGCACTTGTCCACTGTATGATGATCCTAATCGCAATGGCTGGCTTGTGGTACAACGTGAGATGGATCAGTCTTGTCACTCATCATTGCATGAATTTTCTTACATTGATCCTCGGATAAAGATGGCATAGCTGTATGAATCTCCTGCAAGGATGGACCATTGGATGCCACATTATTGGCAGAACTGCTGCTACCTTTCCCTTTCCCTTTCCCAGATTTGTGAAGCATGTGTCCAGGGGGATAGCCATGTAGCTTGTAGCGCTTGTCCACTGTATGATGATCCTGATCGCAATGGCTGCAGTGAAGAGGTTTGCGCCCATAAGAGTTTGAACGGCCAGAAGAATTTGAACGCTGATTGTTTCAAACTGCCATAGCTGCTGGTTTGGCGATTGCTTGGCTGGAACCTAAGTCAAGCTGCTTTTCTTCTTGGGTGATCAAAGAATAAGCCTTGCGAACCTTAGGGAGAGGCTGCATAAGAAGTATCTGGCCTCAAATGACGTTGTAGGACTCATTAAGCCCCATAAGGAACTGCATCAACGAGTTTCGTTCCTCCTATTCGACATGCTTCTTCATGGCACCGCAAGAACAAGCTGGGACGTCACTGTAAGAAGACAACTTGTCCCACAGACTCTTCATCTTGGTATAATAAACAGCAAAGGACCTCTGCTCCTGTGAGAGGGAAGCTATGGTGGGTTGTATCTCGAAAATACGAGGAGCGTTAAGTTGGGAAAAACGTTCTTTAAGGTCCTCCGAAATCTCTTGTGTGGTGGAGGAGTATAACACGCCTTCTGCAATATCTGGTTCTATCGAATTGAGCAGCAAAGATAAAACCATGTCGTTGCAACGCTGCCAAACCTCAAAACTCTCAGGATTAGTTTTCTTCGAAGGGGCTTTGATTGTCCCATTCACTAACCCTAATTTGTTCTTCGCGCTTAGGGAGATGCGCATAGAGCGGCACCATGTCGCATAATTGTTTCCATTAAGGATTTTGGAAATGAGAACCATTCCAGGATGATCGGAATAGTGAATGAAAAAGGGATCGGAAGCATTGTTTTTGCTTCCTGATGTAGCGGATTCTTGGTCTTTGGTCATGGTGGCAGCGGCAAGGAAAGGATGAAAATTAGGGTTGATAGATGACTATTTGATAGGTGCGTCTAGGGCCAAGAGCTAGAGTTTCCTATGCTCTGATACCATGTAAAATTGGTATGAAAAGATATTTGACCAGAATGAATTCTCATTCATCGTTGATGTATGTTTATATAATACATTTCGGAGGTTTCTCCTACAAGTAAGCTAACTGGCTAGGAAAGAATATATACAGGAAATCAAATAATATAACATTCCTATTCTATTATACAATCCCTAAACTAAAGGATAATCTTGGATTCTCAACATGGAGGGAACCCTTTGAGATAATAGCAAGTATCGACCGTGTAAGTATCTCCATTGTAGTGAGTGTAACGTCGAGTCTCTTTTTGGCTCCCTCGAAAAGAAGAACGAGGTTGTGAGTTATGTCCTCGTTGTGAATTATGTCCTTGTTGTGAACGACATTGATAAGCGGGTTTAGAAGAACCCCCTTTCTTATTCTAGATACTCAACATGGCCATGCTTTCTGTATTTGCATGGGTAATGGTGATTTCATGTTGTTTCTCTTCCAGTGAAAGTAGGGAATATGCCCTTCGAACTAATGGCAAGGGCTCCATAAGGAGAATCTGCCCTCAGATCGCTGCATAGAATTCATTTAATCCCATCAAAAATTGCATCAAGCGTTGTTGCTCCTTGTGCTAGGCCAACGACTTCTTTGCTCCACATGAGCAAACTTCTGTATCAATGTAGGAACTCAGTTCATCCCAATAGCTCTTTAGTTTTGAATAATATGTTGCCAGAGGCATCTGATCTTGCGTATGTGTCGCTATGCTGCGTTGAATCTAAAAATGGGAGGACGTGAGGAGGTGAGGAGAGAGAAAGAGAAATGGAAGAGACAAAGAGGAGGTGGCACATCGACAGAGCTAGCGCGAATGTCTTCGGTGTGGATGGGCA